GGACTGTGTCTGCTTCTGCTGATACGCTCGCTGGACCTATAGTAGTGACCTGTTGCTGAGCGTTCGACACGTCTGAGCCCGTGGTCGTCAGCGTGTCTGCTTCAGCGACTACAGTCATTTGAATAATCAAACACAATGTGTAAAGGGCAGTGCCTTTCATAAATGCAGTTTTGACATTGATTTCCTCATGATAAATAGCCTGGACGACTGTTACTCAACGTTGAAGTAGCGGAGTGAGAACGATCAACATTGATGTGTTAAACACTTTTTCATGTTTGTTGATCCCTTTGCTTGCGGGATGTTGCACCCCGACTTGTCAGCTGCTAATCTTACATTTCTAACAAGTATCTATCTCCTACTGGGAGGTATATATACCTGATTTGTACAGGTAAGCTTCCACTGGTCACCATTGATCGACCTGGGTCTGATCAGCCAACATCACTACGGACCGCCCTCGTGTCTTTATGGTCTGATCAATCAGCGTTCAGAGGAGCTAGAGGAGATAATTGCAGTTTAAGGGTTCATCTTTAAATTAAGTAGATGAGGGGACACATCTGAGCTAATAGGATATTGTGTGAACGACAGGCACCGTGAATCTAAACATATACTCGTCATACACGCTCTTATGAATAAATAAATATCACTTTTCTTTAAACGTGAATCAAACGATCTGTCAACCTATTGCTCTCGTTTGAATAAATGGTAAATTTGTGATAATGAAATACAGGTAAAAACGAAATAAAAACCGTTTACTCTGTCTAGCACGGATCACACTTACCTTTGATTAGGCGTATCATTGATTGGTAAGCAGGTGAAAATAGAAAGATCAATGGGTATATCTACCTGTCTCACCTGTATATGATTGAACCTATTTCCGGGACAGGTACTTATGGTTAATTACATGTTGATACAGATGAAACTGATGAGAGCGCATCAATCGTTTGGTGTGTATCTAGTGATGGATAAAGAGTTAGCATTATACATATGCGTTTGAATAGTGTTTAATCCCGAGATACAATACCCACATATATATATACACTGATACATACACTTGTACACATTAACGAATAAAACATCTAGGGAACTATATGCGTCTGTATTCAATTTCTTGCAATTCTCTTCTTAATTAAAAAAAAAAATCCCCTTTACCGGAATCTGCTTCTTTTTTCCAGCATTGTGTCGCGGACTGTGACATCCCTGGCATCTAAGATCTGAACGCGTCAACAATAACAACGTCCAGGTAAAATATCCCCAGTGGATTGAACGATTGATAAAGTACCATTTAAAGTTGTGATGAGATTCACATTCTGTCTGCTAATTGTTACTGTGTTGATGTCATATAGGTGCAATATAGTCACGTGGTCTTGATAATGTTGATTTCTAATTAGGCAATAAACGAGACGATCGATAGTGGTTGATATGATGATCAGGAGCAAAATTACATTGCAAGACATAATATGTCATCTGTGTGTGTGTTCAGATCAGTCTCTCAATGTAGAAAAGTCGAATACTACGAAACAAATTGAAACATGAAATAAAAAAGAAACTATTATTAATATCGAAATTAACATATATGATTTAGGGATACTGATTATCCGGTTACAGGTAATGAAAATATCGTGATAAAACTAATACTGTTAAACACGTATTGCTTAATTAATGTACTAGCTTTAAAACATTATGGGGACTTGGAGATAGAAATTGGAACTTTAGTGACAATGGCATAAAACACCTTATCAATCGTGTCACTTCTAATCGTTCATTTTTGTGCTTTTGGGTTTGTTTACCCTAGCTTTAAGACCCATTAGTGTGTCGTGTGACTGGAACTGATAAAGTATTGTTCCTAATAACATAACACTCACGAGGTTGCGTAATGTTATATCGGTCTAGCTTGCTTCCCCTCAATATAGATAAAGTGCCGCAAATGTCATTCAAAGTATAACTGCTGAAAGATTTTAAAGGTTTTTACCTCTATTTTCCCTATTGTGCCCGCCTCTCTTCGGCTCAGGTACATAAGGTCCTGACAGCGAACATGAGACCAATTTCAGCCTTCCGGCTATCTCCGAAAAGTTCTATTTTTGCATAAAAGGTATTTAGTGTTATGCTGTCCTGATGTGAGATGAAATAAAGGTAAGCATAATACGAGACAAAGCCGGGATATAGTGGAGAGGCAAATTCATCGATGGCCTCATTCTGACAAAACTATTAGTTATATTCGGAACCTTTCTTTATAATTTGATGTAAAAATGTGTAACAATAATGCTGCAAATGATAACAACAACATAGATACGAACACATAGTTGACAAGGAGGTCTCGGTGACATTGAGTTGACAAGGAGATATCGGTGACATTGAGTTGACGAGGAGGTCTCGATGACATTGAGTTGACAAGGAGGTCTCGGTGACATTGAGTTGACGAGGTGGTATCGGTGACATTGAGTTGACGAGGAGGTCTCGATGACATTGAGTTGACAAGGAGGTATCGGTGACATTGAGTTGACAATGAGGTATCGGTGACATTGAGTTGACAAGGAGGTCTCGGTGACATTGAGTTGACAATGAGGTCTCGGTGACATTGAGTTGACAAGGAGGTATCGGTGACATTGAGTTGACGAGGAGGTCTTGATGACATTGAGTTGACAAGGAGGTATCGGTGACATTGAGTTGACAAGGAGGTATCGGTGACATTGAGTTGACAAAGAGGCATCGGTGACATTGAGTTGACAAGGAGATATCGGTGACATTGAGTTGACAAGGAGGTCTTGGTGACATTGAGTTGACAATGAGGTATCGGTGACATTGAGTTGACGAGGAGGTCTCGGTGACATTGAGTTGACGAGGAGGTCCCGGTGACATTGAGTTGACAATGAGGTCTCGGTGACATTGAGTTGAAAATGAGGTATCGGTGACATTGGGTTGACGAGGAGGTCTCGGAGACATTGAGTTGACAAGAGACAATGAGGTATCGGTAACATTGAGTTGACGAGGAGGTCCCGGTGACCTTGAGTTGACAATGAGGGATCGGTGACATTGAGTTGCCAAGGAGGTCTTGGTGACATTGAGTTGACGATGAGGTATCGGTGACATTGGGTTGACAAGGAGGTATCGGTGACATTGAGTTGACGAGGAGGTCTCGATGACATTAAGTTGACAAGGAGGTATCGGTGACATTGAGTTGACAATGAGGTATCGGTAACATTGAGTTGACAAAGAGGTATCGATGACATTGAGTTGACAAGGAGATATCGTTGACATTGAGTTGACAAGGAGGTATCGGTGACATTGAGTTGACAATTAGGTATCGGTAACATTGAGTTGACAAAGAGGTATCGATGTCATTGAGTTGACAAGGAGATATCGTTGACATTGAGTTGACAAGGAGGTCTCGGTGACATTATGTTGACGAGGAGGTCTCGATGACTGACATTGAGCTGACAAGGAGGTATCGGTGACATTGAGTTGACGAGGAGGTCTCGATGACATTAAGTTGACAAGGATGTATCGGTGACATTGAGTTGACAATGAGGTATCGGTGACATTATGTTGACGAGGAGGTCTCGATGACTGACATTGAGCTGACAAGGAGGTATCGGTGACATTGAGTTGACAAGGATATATCGGTGACATTGAGTTGACAAGGAGATATCGGTAACATTGAGTTGACAAAGAGGGATCGGCGACATTGAGTTGACAAGGAGGTCTCGGTGACATTGAGTTGACGAGGAGGGATTGGTGACATTGAGTTGACAAGGAGGTATCGGTGACACTGAGTTGACAAGGATATATCGGTGACACTGAGTTGCCAAGGAGGTATCGGTGACATTGAGTTGACAAGGAGGTATCGGTGACACTGAGTTGACAAGGATATATCGGTGACACTGAGTTGCCAAGGAGGTATCGGTGACATTGAGTTGACAAGGATATATCGGTGACACTGAGTTGCCAAGGAGGTATCGGTGACATTGAGTTGACAAGGATATATCGGTGACACTGAGTTGACAAGGAGGTATCGGTGACATTGAGTTGACAAGGAGATATCGGTAACCTTGAGTTGACAAAGAGGTATCGGTGACATTGAGTAGTTGACAAGGAGGTCTCGGTGACATTGAGTTGACGAGGAGGGATTGGTGACATTGAGTTGACAAGGAGGTATCGGTGACATTGAGGTGACAAGGAGGTCTCGGTGACATTGAGTTGAAAATGAGGTATCGGTGACATTGAGTTGACAATGAGGCATCGGTGACATTGAGTTGACAAGGAGATATCGTTGACATTGAGTTGACAAGGAGGTATCGGTGACATTGAGATGATAAGGAGGTCTCGGTGACATTGAGTTGACAAGGATATATCGGTGACACTGAGTTGACAAGGAGGTAGGAGATATCGGTGACATTGAGTTGACAAGGAGGGATCGGTGACATTGAGTTGACAAGGAGGTCTCGGTGACATTGAGTTGACGAGGAGGTATTGGTGACATTGAGTTGACAAGGAGGTATCGGTGACATTATGTTGACGAGGAGGTCTCGATGACATTGAGTTGACAAGGAGGTCTCTGTGACATTGAGTTGACAATGATGTATCGGTAACATTGAGTTGACAATGACATTGAGCTGACAAGGAGGGATCGGTGACATTGAGTTGACACGAGGCATCGGTGACATTGAGTTGACGAGGCGGTCTTGGTGACATTGAGTTGACAAAGAGGTATCTGTGACATTGAGTTGACAATGAGATATCTGTACCATTGAGTTTACAATGAATCTGTACCATTGAGTTGACAATGAGGGTCTCGGTGACATTGAGTTGGCAAGGAGGTATCGGTCACATTGAGTTGACAAGGAGGTCTCTGTGACACTGAGTTGACAAGGAGGGATCGGTGACGTTGAGTTGACAATAAGGTATTGGTGACATTGAGTTGACAAGGAAGTCTCGGTGACATTGAGTTGAAAATGAGGTATCGGTGACATTGAGTTAACAAGGAGGTCTCGGTGACATTGAGTTTACAATGAGGTATTGGTGACATTGAGCTGACAAGGAGGGATCGGTGACATTGAGTTGACACGAGGCATCGGTGACATTGAGTTGACGAGGCGGTCTTGGTGACATTGAGTTGACAAAGAGGTATCTGTGACATTGAGTTGACAAGGAGGTCTTGGTGACATTGAGTTGACAAGGAGGACTTGGTGACATTGAGTTGACAAAGAGGTATCGGTCACATTGAGTTGACAAGGAGATGTGACATTGAGTTGGCAAGGAGGTCTCGATGACGTTGAGTTGACAATAAGGTATCGGTGACATTGAGTTGACGACAATGAGGCATCGGTGACATTGAGTTGGCAAGGAGGTCTCGGTGACATTGAGTTGACAAGGAGATATCGGTGACATTGAGGTGACAAGGAGGTATCGGTGACGTTGAGTTGACAAGGAGATATCTGTACCATTGAGTTGACAATGAGGTATCGGTGACATTGAGTTGACACTGAGGCATCGGTGACATTGAGTTGACAAGGAGGTCTCGGTGACATTGAGATGATAAGGAGGTCTCGGTGACATTGAGTTGACAATGAGGCATCGGTGACATTGAGTTGACAAGGAGGTCTCGGTGACATTGAGTTGACAAGGAGATATCTGTACCATTGAGTTGACAAGGAGGTATCGGTGACATTGAGTTGACAAGGAGATATCCGTGACATTGAATTGACAAGGAGGTATCGGTGACATTGAGTTGACAAGGATATATCGGTGACATTGAGTTGACAAGGAGGTATCGGTGACATTGAGGTGACAAGGAGGTATCGGTGACATTGAGTTGACAAGGATATATCGGTGACACTGAGTTGACAAGGAGGTCTCGGTGACATTGAGTTGACAATGAGGTCTCGGTGACATTGAGTTGACAAGGAGGTATCGGTGACATTGAGGTGACAAGGAGGTCTCGGTGACATTGAGTTGACAAGGAGATATCTGTACCATTGAGTTGACAAGGAGGTATCGGTGACATTGAGTTGACAATGAGGTATCGGTGACATTGAGTTGACAAGGAGATATCGGTGACATTGAGTTGACACGGAGATATCGGTGATATTGAGTTGGCAAGGAGGTCTCGGTGACGTTGAGTTGACAATAAGGTATCGGTGACATTGAGTTGACAAGGAAGTCTCGGTGACATTGAGTTGACAATGATGTATCGGTAACATTGAGTTGACAAAGAGGTATCGGTGACATTGAGTTGACAAGGTGATATCGGTGACATTGAGTTGACAAGGAGATATCTGTTCTATTTAGTTGACAAGGAGGTCTCGGTGACATTGAGTTTACAAGGTGATATCGGTGACATTGAGTTGGCAAGGAGGTCTCGGTGACATTGAGTTGACAAGGAGATATCTGTATTATTGAGTTGACAAGGAGGTCTCAGTGACATTGAGTTGACAAGGAGATATCGGTGACATTGAGTTGGCAAGGAGGTCTCGGTGACGTTGGGTTGACAAGGAGATATCTGTACCATTGAGTTGACAATGAGGTATCGGTGACATTGAGTTGACAAGGAGATATCGATGACATTGAGTTGGCAAGGAGGTCTCGGTAACATTGAGTTGACAAGGAGATATCTTTACCATTGAGTTGACAAGGAGGTCTCGTTGACATTGAGTTTACAAGGAGGTCTCGGTGACATTGAGTTGGCAAGGAGGTCTCGGTGACATTGAGTTGACAAGGAGATATCGATGACATTGAGTTTACAAGGAAGTATCGGTAACATTGAGTTGACAAGGAGGTCTTGGTGACATTGATCTTTATCGATTAAATGGTGTTTAGCTATATACTATTTTAGTCACCACAATAGCTATCGTCATATAAAGAGGATTGTGTAAACAAATGATAAAAGAAGAAAAAAACACATTGTAAGTGCATTGAGTGCGACAGAAATGTGATATCATTAAAGACCTTCTAGAGAGTAAACATAAAACCAACCCCCACTGTCTACGGGCCCCACCACAGTCGCCTTCTATCAGCATGCAATGGAAAATTTACAACAGAACCTTTATTTGTTAACGAATCTTATGGGAATTGCTTCGTCCTAAATGTGTCAACGACGGTCCTGATGTCGACTTGATAACTGGTACATACACAGCGTATTTGTTTTTATTCCCAATGCTCTGCTATGTGAACCTGATCCAGGAATGCGAAACGAGTGATCACGTGATTTTCTACCGTAATTACGTTGTCATTGTTTACACTGGATCGAGTCGCTACTTTAGCACAAGTGAAAATACGTCAATATTTTCGATGATACACAATACGGCTGTGATTACCATGCCAGACAGTAATTAGTTGTCTCAAGTAAATGAGAGTGGTGACTATGAAGTGACAGCACGTGAGCAAACTTGATTGGCGTCTATATACTAGTCAGAACAATAACAGTCAGATTTAAACGGTCCACCTTTGGTGACAGTGACATCCTTTTCTCCCACCCTTCACAGGTTTGTCTCCCGTTTTAGCCGGGAAAGATCAGCTTGTCACCCCCTAGGGGGAGATAGCCTCGTGCCGATTAGCACGTGTTCGATTGTGACGTCATTTAAATGCGTCATCGGTAATTGTGACGTCATCAAAAGTGAATGACGATATGCATACCCCACAAGTGTTTTTGTTTACAAACATGGCAGAGCCTCGGGTTAGACAACCAAAAACCACCACCCCTCGGGTTGGAGATTTCTCTGTCACACCCTCAAGGTAGGGGAAGATTCTATTAATCACTACCTCGCACGAAAAGTGACATAGTAAAGTATGCAAATAAAACGTATTGTATATATTGTATAGTACATTTATCCTAGCCCTCCCCC